GAACTTCCAAACAGCTGCATATATATATATATATATACACACACATTATATACATATACATATAATATATATATTTTTGAGGCATATACAGAATGCATTTCCGTCTTGGTAGTGTTAGGAGTAATCAAGAAGTGGCTTACCTATAAAGCTAGTTAAAAAAAAAAATGCTACAGTTTTTTTGTTTGATCACTCCCTTTTTTATAAATCGATAATGTTCTATCTTTTTATTATAACTCCGTCACGCTTAAGTATTACAAAAGTTGTGGTGGTGCTGTTAGACAATATAATAGAAAATACAAAGAAGAACAAGGAAATAAAGGAATAACAAAATAATGAAAATTGTTACAATCCGAAATCAACCTTTCTATGGAATTCGAAAACGGAATTGTATGAATGTCGAGGCACGTGAACCACGTTGTCCTTAAAACAGATTCGTCCCCTCCGGCGTGTGCTTGAGGTTACGTTGGACGTCCGTCTCCCAGGATACAACGACAACGACGGCAGCTCGATGCACTTTCGGAACCGTCCGGCGAACTAGAACTTGATCTTCCCTCTATCACCAAAACCGAACTACAAGAACTACTCAAGGAAATCCGGAACAAACCAAGAGAGAGAGAGAACCAAAAAGGAGAAGAGAATTGTGAGGAAGTGTGTACCTATCATGTGGAGTTTTGGCCTTTATATAGGCTCCAAAATCTGGGTGTTACACCAAGACATTATGGTGTAATAACCCAGATTTATTCCCGGAATAATGGTGATTAAAACCAGCCAAAACGTTTTTTAATTTCCCACGGTGAATCTGGCCACATTCTGGCTAGTAATTCAGCTTTTGATGATGGAAAACCAAAGCCATGAAAGCTTGATTCGGTTTTGCCTCCATTGATCACCATTAAGGTCTCATTATGGTCTTTAACCATCATTGTTTTATGCCAAACGGAAGCTGGAAGGTCTTGGCTAGAGCAAAAATAAAATCGCAAAAGTAAGCTCGCGCGGAGCGGGTTTTTCAGTCCGGCATTCGTGTCCGCAGGCGCACACATTAGGCCCCAAACCCGCCGGGCCCGTGATTCCAAGTACCATACTTAGACCATCAATTTCTCATTCACCCAAAATCCATTTTGAGTGTATGAATACTTGATTTCGATCTCCTCGTGACGAAGAACGCAAATCCATCGAGACCCGTCTCAAAACCTATTGGGCCCCTTTCAAACATGGGCCTCAAAATGGGCCTTTAAAATGGCTTAATAAGCCATTTTTTCCAACAGGTGCAATTCCTGTTAGCTTTTTTTTTTTTCATTTTTAAAAATTTTGGTACTCAACGTTATATATAGAGTTTTTTAATTATATCAAATTGACAATAAGAAAAATTTTGAGTTGATGCAAACTGTTATGATACGAAATTCCTACAATCGTTTGGCAATCGTATTAGCGTCTTTTTTTTCCCTCTTCGTTCTTTTTTTTTTTTTTTTAAATTTCCTTCTTCTTCTTCTTCCAATTCTAGAATAATATTCTAAGACCCCGTTTATTTCACCGATTCGAGTTTTGTTACAGTAAAAAGCTCTCAGAAACAGTCACATCTAATTTTTTTACTACAATAAAAGCTCTCACATAAAATCACATATCAACTCGAATTAAAAACTCGAATCAACGAATTAAACGGAAGTAATTCTAAGATGAGAATTTACGACGTTTCAACCAAATAGAACATGCTTATAATGTAGAATATATTAGGCTTACCTTCCCAGATTTGGTCCTGATACATCTTTGTTATTTCTTTGGTATGATCGAAGATATATGATAAAAAAATACCGTAGTTTCTTATTGATTAAAACTCCAAAGAAAAATAATTCCATGTAGAGTCCAAATATTCTCCACCATAAATTCAAAAAAAAAATCGAATAAATGACTTTTTTTTTTTTTTAAAAAAAAAAGGAAGAAGGAAGGCATAGAAATTAAATTAGTGAACACGTGATGATCCTGCGAGTTTTATAGTTATAACACCTCTCTCACATTTAACACGGATTATTGAGAGGAGTCCAAATTGGTTTGCTGTTGATTTCTGTTGTCACCAATTTAAATATAATTTATTAAAATTTCACACGTCACATCTATTAAAATTAGTATTAATGAAGTTAAATCACTAGACAAAAACTGATGACTAGTACAGTACGTGAACTAATTTAACTACCATTTTAATTTCTATCAAACATAAATTTTTTTTTTTTGAATAACAAACATAAATAATTTGACTAATATAAGAAGGCGGCCATGTTCTTTTGTCTAAAAAATTCAAAAAAAGACAACTCAAGTTTCAACTTTATTCAAGTTAATGTTTTTTTAAGTTTCAACTTTATTCAATTTTACTCAATTTTATTCAAATTCTAACTTCAACTCAAGTTATAACTCAAATTCAACTCAAAAACTACACTCAAGTTACACTCTAAAAGAACAACCCCTGAACAATTATTACTATTAATAAAAAATAAACCGCTTTTTTTAATTAAGATTATACAGAGTTCAAATGTCTTTCCAAAAGAGAAAATATAATGATGTGGGACATTTGGTTCTAGCAACTAGTCTTCTTTGCCAATCGAGCCATTAACTAATTCCTGGACAGTCATTTACATATAATTATCTAATATTTGACATGCATACAATTCTACATATCAAGCATGAATTAAGCATTTTGGTCTAACAAGTAATTAGAAAATAAATTATACGAATTCCGTGAAACCAAATCAATGTTTTCCTACATTAAAATATGACATATATATGTTTTCAACATTTTTTTTTTAAATAAGAATTGTTGGTTGATAGGAATTAGGGGTGCATGAGAAAATTCAATTAAGGTGGTACTCCTGTAATAACACCCTAATTATCTATACCCACCGCCTAACATATTATATAAATAATATAAGAAAAAAAGTAAAGAAAAAAGTAAATCCAACAAATTACAAGCCGCTCTTCTAATTACAAAAATTAAAGATCAAATAATCCTAAACCCGGCCTAATTCTATGCCCTAAGCGTGTTGCGTAATGCATGCATAGTGAGGACATAACCATACCAACCTCCAAATTTATGACGTTTGAATCCCAATTCCCTACCAAACAAACAAATAAAACCTATTTCGAAAACAAAAAAAAAAAACTAAAACTAAACGGCTGAGCCTGATGCAAAATGATGTTTACGAAATTTTAGGGTGTCTTTGAAACTCGTTCTAAAATGATTTTATTTTTTGTACAAAAATGGAAATGAAAACGTTTTCAATCTCAGACAAAAATTATTTTTAAAAATGTGTTTGGTAGTTTTATGAAGACATTATTTTTAGTATAAGAAAATTCATTAAATCTATTAAAGTCTCTCTCTCCTTGAGAGAGGAGAAAACAGAAACAAAAAATAAAAAACGACTAAAAGTCATTTTTCATTTCTCTCCTATTTTACATAAACGAAAAAATCATTTTCATTTCCGTTTTTATCTTTAATTGTGTCAAACGCTGTTTCTCTACCATTTTTATTTTTTCTTTCTAAAAAAACGTGAAAAACTCAAACAAAAATAACTCCAAACACAGCCTTATATTCCATAAAACTAGTTAGAACAGAAATACCACAAGGTTTTGACAAGAATGGGTTTTAGTTTTAAATGCGTGTGTATATGTAACTCTATAACATCCTTTATGCATTTAAATTTGACGGGTAAGCATGTACGAGGTCTCCCCCCTTTTTTCTTGGCCGAAAATACGTATTGTACACGGAAGTGTTTGAGAATTTGGCAATAGCTTATTAACAATCATATTTCTTAGTAAGACCATAGGAATAATTTATCAGTTTCTTTTCATATCGTGAATATTGCTCAATTCCAGAAATACAAAAATATGCAGTAATTTGGCTTAATTTGTGATTAAAAAAAATTTGACTAAGAGCAATTACATTTATACTAGTCTTTTTTTTTTATAGTTAAAATGGCTAATGAAGCTTTTTTTAACCTTTCTTCACTCCAACAATTAGCCAATTGGTTAGCTGTTTTGGAAAATGCATTTCACACTAGTCAAATATAATAACTAGTAAGAAAGAGGCTAGCTATTTCAATTTTTTCTATTATTTTATTCTTTCATACAATAATAATTAATAAATGCATAGAGTTATTTATATTTTAAATTCAATAATTATTAAAATATTTTATTTTTAGTTAAAATAAAAAGTGTGGTTGGAGTGAATTATCTAAGAAATTTTAGCTAAAATTAGTCATTTTAACTAAAATTTAGTTAAAATTCAGGGAGTTTCCTGCCCTAATAAACTATTTTGCTTTTATATTGGACAAAAATTAACTGAAAAAAGCTTTTAACATATGGTTCTTTCCTTGTAATATGTACATGGTGGTGATTTTTTTTTTTTTTTTTGGGTTTAGAAAGAGTTCATGTTTATTTTGATACATGGTCATACATGGTCATGATTAAGTTTGTCTTTTAGCACACGCTATTTTGTTGAATACGTATTCCATGAGTCATGTGTAAATCCAAGTTAATTAAATAATTTTATAATTGTTTCAGCAGAAAAGGCCGTTACTATATAAACAACACATGTATTGAGGTCCTAATTATTAATTAATGTACGTGATAAAATAAAAAGAAAAAAAAAAGTTAATTTTCAAACGTCCTTTGAAGGCCAGATCCTTGAATATGAACATATAAAATAATCATTCTCAATATAATCCACGCGTGATTTCATGGGTTTGAACTAAAGCAATAGAAAGTTCTACCAGTAAAGAAAAATTATTCTCAATACAATATATACACGAATTTGAAAGCAAATAGGCCACGCGTTCTTTTGTTGAATTTTAGGCACTTAAGCGAGCGGATGATGCCTTTCCTAGAAAGTGATGCTTTACCTTACTAAAGTCAAATTCACGAAACCTTCAAAATCTTGCCTCTGTCTGTATAATATATATATATATATATATATATATATGTATATATGTATATATATATATATATGTGTGTGTGTGTGTTTGTAACATAATTAGACTCACAAAACCATGTCCAAGAAGATACTCCAAATACAAGTATAATAGCAATACAAGTAGGTACTGGAGAGAGATCAAGCTATAGTCAAACATGGCAGATAACCAGAGAATCCATCCATCTCAAGATCCTGAGGCCCCTTTGGTGCCGAAAGGAGCCTCCAACTCCGAAAAAGGCGATCAGGCATCGGCGTCGGCGTCGGCGCCGCCTTACCCTCCTTTCCAGCGAACCATTCCGTTGACGCAATCAAACCCGCCGAAGAAGCGAAGAAGCTGCCTCTGCAAGTGCCTCTGCTGGACTTTCCTCGTCATTCTCATACTGATCATCGTCATCGCCGCCACCGTAGGCATCCTATACCTGGTTTTCCGCCCCAAGCTGCCGAAATACTCCATCGACGACCTGCAGGTGACGCAGTTCAACCTCAGCAGCAACGACAGCCTGTCGGCGACCTTCGACGTGACGATCACCGCGCGCAATCCGAACAAGAAGATCGGGATATATTACGAGGGGGGAAGCCGGATAAGAGTGTATTACAACGGGACGAGGCTGTGCCAGGGAGCGCTGCCCAAGTTCTACCAGGGACACCGCAACACGACGCGGCTGGTGGTGCCGGTGACGGGGCAGACGGCGAACGCGACGGGGCTTATCAACGATCTTCAGGCCGAGCGGCAGCAGACTGGCTACGTTCCGCTTGCTTTGCGGGTCAAACAACCCGTCAGGATTAAGCTGGGAAGGCTTAAGCTTTTCAAGATCAAGTTCTACGTTAAATGTAGCCTCAACGTTGATAGTCTTGAGGCTAATAACGATATTAAGATTCGAAATAGTAGCTGTAAGTTCAGGTTATGGCTATAAACATATATATATATATATATATATATGCACACACACTAGTACTATATATTATCACATATATTCATGATGCATTTATTATTGATTTTTTTTTCCTTGTTATTTAGAAGTTGCGGATGATCAATTATATACATATGGGGGGGTTTTTGTATTATCCCTTATTTATAAATTCGGATTCTTTTTGTTATTCATCTATCTGTATATGATCCATTTTTAGTGTTTTATTCCAGCGTATATTCAATATTCATTCAACTTTATGACGGGATGAAGATTGTGCCGTCTCCCATGGGCAAACTTTATGATCAGTTCTTGTACACAATTTTCAGTCAAAATAGGTTAAATAGCGTACATTTTTTAATGTCTATCCGATCAAAATCACATTAAATTAAAAATATATATATGTAATTGATAAATACAAGGTAGTCAAAAAGTATACAAAATTGATAAATACAAGACATTTGAAAATCATGTCCTACTAATATGCAAAATTGACAAAATCTGGTATAAATGGGACGATTTAAAACAAAGTCCTATCAATAGGGTATTTTTTTCAATCTGGAGGTATCCTACTTTGAACTATATTATTGGTTACTTGGTTATCGGTAAGCTAAGGAAAATAACATTGCCAGAGCTAGTTGTTAATTTATTCATCACAGATTTTCGAATCCAAAATCTAAAAAGTAGTACATCTAGTTTACAAATACCGTAGGTTATACATCCTTGCATAGAAGAAAATTCAAGAGATCAAAAGAATTTGAAATTGGCAGTCGAGATACGATTCTTCCTTACTTTAGCTGGTCGACAAACTGATTTTCTTATCCAGATGAGATTTCTACAGAAGATGATGTAAACGACTCAATGCTTCCTTTCCTTTCAAAAAGACTGTCCTTCGATCGACCATAGGGCGTATTCTATCCTTACCAAATTCATTCTATTGAGAAGCTTCTTTTAGATAAAAAAGAACCCGGATTGTGGAGCTTTCGATCGTATTCTATCCTTACCGAATTAATTCTATTGAGAAGCATCTTTTAGATAAAAAAGAACCGGGATTGTGGAGCTGTGAAGAGGCAAAGCCAACTATAGATACACTAGAGGAAATAAAAATTGCTAGGCGCATTTGGAATTCGTTATAAAATAATTTTATTTTTTGTATGAAAATAAAAATGAAAACATTTTCAATCTCAGATATAAATCATTTTTAAAAATGCGTTTGATAGTTTTATCAAGAGATTATTTTCAGTGTAAAAAAACCCACTAATGTCTCTCTTTCTCTCACTCTGCTCGAGAGAGGAGAAAACGAAAATGAAAAATGAAAAACGACTAAAAGTCGTTTTTCATTTCTCTCTCATTTTACAGTAAATCAAAAAATCGTATTCATTTCCGTTTTGTCTTTATTACTTCAAACGCCGTTTTAAAAACGTTTTCATTTTTTCTTTCTCAAAACACGTGAAAAATAAAAACGGAATCAATTCTAAACACGGCCGTTGTTCTTTCCATCTTGTTAGGAATGACAAGCCCATCAAATTAGGAGAAAGGAAAACATTGCTAATTGAAATCCTTGTCAAGTTACAGAAATGAATTAAGGTGGGTTGACTCGAATGGTGAGCATATTTTGAGATAAATTGGAGTGTCAATTCAATTGCAAATTTTTTAAACCAGAACTTGCTCTAAGATCACATCATTAAGAACAATAAAAGAAGGCATTTCATCGTATTTCTGTAAACTTCACAAACCGAAATCGGGAGTTTATATAAATTATGCCATGTCAAAATCAGGCATATTGAGTTTACAACAAGAAAATCAAACGATGGTTATTTAGTAACTCTACCAAAGTTCCTCGCAGTTATCAAGTAAAAAGTTTTGACACAATAAATTGGTTTTCAAAGCAATACACAATATTTATAATAGTCCGATTATTAATTATCCGAAACTACAGGAGAATCGGAATTTGAGGCCGAGATAGATGAAAGGGATGTAAACAGCAGGTAAGCCATTCCATCACGACACCTTCAATTCATCCATGCCAACACTGGCCTGTTTCAACACGAAACAACAAGTCAGAAACATCAAACTAAAGAAAACATTCTTAGGCATCTCCCAAAAGTCCCAATTTCACAAGGGACAGGATCTTTCTGCATTGACTATTTTTACCATTTCAAAAGCAAAGTTCGTCAAGTGTAACAACATGTAGACCAACCGCTTCGAAACTTTTGAGTATAGAACTCAACGTTGGCCCACTTTTTAACTGCTTCTGTATTTTGGAAGAATTGGTAAAGCTAAATTACTAAGAGCATCTCCAATGCAATGCTATAATTGACGTGCCAATTGTAAATTTAATATTTGAGTGTAAATAACACTCTCCAATACAATGCTATTTGTTGTGCCAAATTTCCCATATGCTTTATTTTGTGGTAATTTCCCACCAAGTATAGAATATGGGAAATTTAGCATTTGAATACTATTAGTTGAAATGTTTACTTTTCATGTAATCATTGCAACTTTTGCATTTTCTAATTATTTAAAAAATAAAAGTTTATTTTTACAACTTTCAAAGCTTAATGATTATGAAAAAAAAAATGTAGATTTAGCATTTTAAATAGCATTATACATTAGAACAAAAGTGAAAATAACATACCATATCATACTTTTTTATGTTAAATATACAATTGGCATTAGCATTTGCATTGGAGATGTCTAATATGATACCATTGCATCTTGAATTCAAACCCCCTACAAAACTACAGTCTCCAAATTGTCACCACATGTTGAAGTGGGTCATAAATCCTGAAATGCAATGAGGTCAAGCTCAAATTTTCTAAATTAAATGGGTACAAGAAATCTTACCAAAAACTTGTGATTCTCTTCAAGAAGAGGGGAAAATGTTGTACAGAACTTCTCTATGTCAGCCAGGACATCACCAGAACCTGCTATTACATCCATAAACTTCTTCCTTTCAGGCGCAAGCTTCATGGCCACCTGTAATGCCCACATCCAATAACTCATTTTCTAAATTTTAAAAAAAAAAAAAATATATATATATATATATGCCAAATAGGAAAGGAGTTAAAACACGCACAGGTGCATATGGCCATGATTTCACACAAGATTGGTTGAGTAAAGGACTAACTAAAGGGGAAGGAAGTAATAACCGGTTTACAACTTAAAGTTAAAAGTAACTTTTCTGCAAATAAGGAGCTAAATGGACTTTTTTTTTCTAGAAAGAATAAGCCAGTTAAAAAATCATATGTTGCAGATGAGCTTTTACATTTTACATGCCTATAATTTCGTGGGAGAAGAAATGAAAACTCTAGGAGCAAAATGCTGATTAGGATAGACGACAACCTATTCAGAAAGCCCCAAATGGCATAACTGTAATGAAACCTAGAAAATAAAGTTCAATAAATATGGGCCAAATGATACATGGATATGGTTGTGGTTTTGCATCACATGGTTCTACTTGCAAACTTCCGAAAAAGAAAATAATAGAATGAATCAGAGACGTTACAGTGAAAGTTGAACTAGCAAGCCAACCGTGCCATTTCTTCAGAGTCTTGCCGTAGGAATCTGTACAAGCCTGTGACATCGGCCAATCTGGATGCTCCAGTAAGTTGCGAAACAATGCCACCAGGAAATCCATTGCCCTGAACATTTGTAAGATGAGATACAAAAACTGCGTATTTGGTGATCTATTAATCACAAGAATAGAAACCAAAGTGGTATGCAAGAAAGTAAGATGAATGGAGGATAACAGATTTAACCATTTCGTCCCACGACATGCAAAGAAAAACGGAAAGCACTAAAACTAAAAAAAAAAAAAAAATCTTATGAATAACAAATCATCTCTTAAACCTCTTCAAAAGTAAATGAAAAGAAATATCTTCAAAGCAACTGTAGAAGCCTTCATAGGCCAAAAAACATTCACCCTCCAACAATATTCTAATTTTAAGTTTCCCATTTCTCTCCAACCAAAGAATCTAAATAACTTCTAGAATAACAAATTATACAGAATTCCAGGTTTCCTACTGGTGCAGAATCCACTTTTCAATGAAGAAAGCCCTGCAGTTTTTGGGAAGACCAAAAGCAATAATTTACTCTAACAATGTCTGGCCGTCTAAAAACAACAATATAGTCAGCAGTCTCACAACCCTTTTTCATCACTTGTATCATTAAGATTGCATATAGCTAATGTAACTATCGAGCTTTGCACATGAATGCCGAAATGAAACCTTTACCTCGTCAACCAAAGAAGACCATTGGTGCAGCTGGATGATCCTTTTGCTGTTTTAGCTTCAACCTCAACACTCACCAAACTATACAACTGGTTGAATTGTTCAGGATTCGATTGATACTTGGTTTCCAACCTCTACAACAAAACCAAATAAGAATAATAAAGGGGCATCTTAAGAAAGTAAATCTTGTATAAAAGTCAAAAGACATTTTATATAAAGGCAAAAAAAAAAAAAAAAAAAAAAAAAAAAAAAAAAAAAAAAAGAGAAAACACCAAAGAGAATTATACCGAAATGTTACCGCCAATGTCAGATTTGACAAGAGCCATGGCTGCTCCAAACTTATCTGGCAGAATAAGAAAATAATGGAGTTGTGAGATTAACATAACATAATTGAATAGTTAATGGAAAAAAAAAAGATAGAAATATTTTAGTTGTACCAATAACAGGCAAAATTTCTTTGCAGACATCCAAGAAAGGTTTTGTCAGCATTTCACCATTGTCAGATTTTACATTCTTCATCCCTTCCAATGCTGGAGTGAAAACAGTACTCCCTCCCTCCTCCATTTCTTCGATTTCTATGACACCATTTCCAAACCAATTTTCATTATATATATAGATAACACGCAAATGATTGAACAATTACCAAAAAAAAAAAAAAAACACAAGAGAGAGGAGAGATCTGAGTGTCAACGCACGATTTTCGACGGTTTCTTCGGTTGCGGAGCCTAAAAGGCTTGGATCTGACATAAATTCAACAAATTTAGGACCAAATCAAACAAGATCGTTTAGGAAATCCAATTGAAAAATGGTAATCTCGGAAAGAAGGATGAAAATGTAACGAACCTTAGCGTTTGGGATGAGAAAGAGAATCTGATTCAATTCGTATTCCAATTTGAATTTCAATTCGTATTCCGATTTGAATTTCAATTCCTACTCTGATTCGATCAGCGAATATCTATTTCTATTGTCACTATATATCACTATATATTAAAAAAGAGTCAATACGAGGTTCACTGTACACTTTTCGTAGTAAAAAACGCACCGTTTTTAGTGCCTGATTCTTTTTTATTTTTCTTTTATTTTTCCTTTCCTTTTTCTCTTTTGCTTTTGCTTTTTTTTTTTTTTTTTAAATGTTCTTTTCAACTCTTTTTTCCTTTTGTTTTCCATACCTCTCGCTTCTTTCTTTTGTTTTACGTAACCTTTTCAATTCCAAATCTTATCCAAAATCCTAATCTCAAATAAAAACGAGTAGATATATGTAACTCTTTTATTTCTACTTCTATCTATCTGCTATATCTATGATAACTATATTAAAAGAGTCATATACTGTTTATCTATGGCTGTCAAAAACGCACCGTATTGATGGTTTTGTTTTTTTTTATTATTATTATTTGTGTTTTTTTTTTCCTTTACCTTTCTTGTAATTTTTTCTTTCTTAGTTAGTGGTTTCTACGAAATAACAAAACACTGTTTATCCTGTTAATTCTAAATATATGAAAGAGCCCTATTTAAAAAAAAAAATATATATATATATATATAAGACTGAAAATTGTGAGTTTTAGGTGCTTTATTTTATTATTATTATTTTTAACTTTCAACTCTTTCATTTTTTTTTATTTTATTCTTTCATAATTTATGTTCATCCTGTCAAATTCCAAAACGTTGATTTTTAGGTGCTTTACCCTTTTTTTTTTTTCAACTTTCAACTGCTTTATCTTTTTTTTTTTGTTATCTTATAATTTAACATCTTTCATGTATTTCCGCTTTTAAATTCCACTTTTTTGACTTCTTTCCTTTCTTACTTTTCTTCTCTTTCACTAATTTTTTAACATTTTTTTTTTCTTGCATTACTTTTTTCCCTTTTTTTTTTGGTGCTCCATTTGTCTGCTATAGTATGTTAGCTTAATCACTTAAATATTTATTTCTTTTTAACTCCATCATTTTTTGTGTTTTATTTTTTTATTCATTTTTTAACTCTCTTTGTCTACCATTGTATATTTGTATTTCAGAAATGACTTTCTGCATTTTTTTTTCTTTTTCACTATTTTTTTTTCTTCTATTTTTTTTACTGAGACAGAATGACACAAATAAACCCCTTTTTATGAGGAGAACAAGAAGAGTAACTTTTATTTGTGTGGAATGGTATCTTGTTTTAAATTTTAATGGCCCTACTTATTCTCATTCTTGCATTCTAGTTATTTTAGAACGGAGTAATTAAATAGTTGTTTGGTATAAGGATTATGAATTCGGAATTATAATTCCGGGTTCAAATCAGTATTTATTTATAAAAAGTAAAAAGTGGTTTTAAGTTGACTTACTCAGAATTACCGTTTAGTTTAGATGATTCTGATTTAAAATTTAAATTCTGATGTGATGTTTTAAACCATGAATTACTCCTGATTTTAAAATCACTCGCCCATTGATTTTGGGTGGTTCAAACCCATGATTCTAGTTCTGTTTTGAGATCTATGATTTAGACCAAAAATCATGAATCGTAATTCTGATTAGATCACCCGGGTTTGAACTCTCGTACCAAACAAACTATAAAAACACGTTGGTATGTTAAAAGGAAAAAAAAAAAAAAAGAAATAAGAAAAATTGTGACCTGTGTGTCTCATGAGCCATTGAGGTTAATGCAATTGACCGAGTCTAAAGGGTGGATACAGAAAACAAGACCCCCTAAATTTAGGATAAAATTCCCCAAAAGCACAAATTTGTGAATGGCAAAAGCAAAGCCAACAAGGTGTTAATGCAGTTTCTATTGTGGGATAAACATGACAAAAATATGACCACCCTTGCATTTCATGCCCCTTTCCCATCCTCCGTTGGTGGCAGCAGAGTCGGGGCTAGTGCTGGCCGCTGTGGCAGCCACGGAGGGCGATGGAAGCGGGAGGGAAGGCGGTGCCACGCAGAGTAATGGTGGTGGCGGATCCTACAAGGGAGTCTGCGGGCGCACTCCAATATGCACTTTCTCATGCAGTTGTTGAGAAGGACGAGTTGATCCTTCTCCACGTGGAGAGTCCGGGCTCATGGAGAAACACGTTCTCGACATTCCTCAGGCGGCCAAGCCACTCAGCGAGCTCCACGGCGGCGGCGGCGGCGGCTACCTTCTTAGAAGGTGGTGCGGCCGATCACGTCGACTTTCTCGAGGAAATGAGGTCGGCATGCAAACATGCACGGCCAAGGGTACGTGTGCGTGTAGAGAGGGTGGCAACGGAAGGAAAAGAAAAGGCAACCACTATTCTGTTCCAAAGCATGGCTTTGAGGGTTGATGTCCTGGTTATTGGGCAGCGTCGAAGTCTCTCTTCTTCACTATTGGGGTGAGTTATCTGAAAGAAAAAAAAAAAGGATTAAAAAGTATTTAACCAAGCGTTTGTTATTTAAAAAAAAAAAAGAGAGAAAAAGTAAATGTTTGTTATAGCAGAAGCTAGAAAATAGGTATTTATCTGTGATTCTGCAGAAACTTCTTTGTGCCTTTTATTTTTGGGGTTTTAGCACTTTTTCTCCTTTGAACTTTTGTTGTGGTTTGCTTCGTCCTTGAATATTTTTTTCTTGACAATTTAGTCATTGAATTTTAGAAGAGCAACAATTAACTCCCACTCCAACCGGAATTAATTTCTAGGTAATTTTACGGCTAATTCAATGACTAATTTATATCAAAGAACCAATAATGAAAAACTATTGAGAGATTTAGAGGGTGCAAGTGCTAAAAGAGTATTGTGATTCCGTCCAAAATGTAGCCTCAGTTATATATTAGAGTTAATTGCAGCTATTTTGTAAATTGAAGGACTAAATTTCTAAGTGGGGGGGAAAATAAAGGAGAGAGACTTGGGGATGCCTAAAATCTGGATCATAGGCTTCAGTGTTGGATTCTTGAACAACCTTTTTGATTCCTGTTTCTTGAGGGTACAGTTTTCATTTTTTGTTAATAGCAGCATTTTATAACTTTTTAACATTTTTTTCATATTCATTTGGATGATAGAAACTTTAGTCTATCTGTGAATCATTTTAGTTACGGTGTGCTTGCAGATATAAGCGACCAGGAGGGTCACTGATAGGGGCAAAATCGATAGACACGGCGGAATACTTGATTGAGAACAGCAAGTGCACCTGTGTTGGAGTACAGAAAAAGGGCCAAAATGCAGGTTTCGTTCTCAATTCCAAAACCCACAGGAACTTCTGGCTACTGGCTTAAACCATCTAACGACCTTGGATTCAACATTACTCTGTCCTAGATACCGCCGTTGAAATCAGTCTGCTCACTTCCGTTCTCGAGCTCGACCTGTTTCTCGAGGGACTAGGAACAGATCAAAATTGAATCCTCGAATCTGCTAAGTCGGTTTACAAGTCTTTGGTTTTTCTCTAGTTATGGAGTGAACCAAATGGTGATATTTTTCATTATAAAGTTTTGAACTTGTACGTGAACCAGAGGAAAATGGCATTCGCAGACCAATATTATATAATGCTAACTGCAGAAACGAAATTTTTCATTTTTTTTCCCTCGGAAAACAAAACTGCGGTTATCGAGTCTCATAAAGAAACAGAAAGAAAGATACAAGAGGATAATTAGGGCCTATTCCATAACACAAAATAAGGGCTGAAGGAAGCTTGCTTGCTTAGCTGGATTATAACACATTTCTAATCATAATAGCACAGAATTTCATAGTTCATCTCGCACGACTCTTTCTAATGGAACCTCAAACCTATTAATTACATCATCTTTGACCTCGGCATGATTTACACCATCTATAACAGCTCTGGGTCCATGATCTGTTGTTCTGGTGGGGGAGCCATACCGGCCTTAACGGCAGCGGTGACTGCCCTTTGCAACTTCAGTAACCCAATACGCTTTGAGACAACGTAAAGAACAGCACAAAAGAACAAGAAAATCCAACAGCTTTGGGTCTAATAATGAGCAACATCAGAGCAAAGCACAGCATTCTTCACAGTTTGTAACCAAATTGCAGAAAGAAAATCCTAGAATAAGAAAACTTTGATAGCACTTCAAACTTGAATTGAAATGAATTCTCATGAAATGCTTTAAGACAAAAAAAAAAAAAAAAGATAAAAAAAAATAAAAAAAAATTAACACCACTTGAATCTGTTTAAACTATAGAAAGTATGTAGGGAATCTGGACAAAAGAAGATAAATACAAGCCTAAACAATATTCATTATATACATAACAAATATGAGAAAAACACAACCTCAATACTATTCCATCCCTTAATTATGGACATAAATAGCATCATATAGAATCGCTTGGGTAACTCATCTTACAGTATATATAGTGCTACTACTCTTT